GCGGGCAGGCTTGCCGACAACGTGTTCAAAAAACATGGCAAAGTTTTCCTGGTCCACGAATAGAAAGATCTAGCAAAAATCTTCGAGCTCTTCAGGGGGCGATTTGACCAGACTGGTGTGTTCAGCAGACTTGGCACCAGCAGAATACCATCAACCTCTACTGCTGTCGGATCAATTGAAAAAGGGGTAGTCTTATAATCCGGACCTACTCGGAAAGAACCTCTTCGAGTTCTTCGTCTCAATAGCTGAAGATTTCCAATCGATGGGAACCGGAAAATAGCTGCTAAAAAGCAACATTTCGGAGACTACGATAGTGCATATTTTCGTTAATTGCTGGGTGAACCAAGAAAAATGATTCAAAGAAAAAACTTGACGAAAGCGTAAGGACTTTCCTGACAACCTAGCGTTCAGTTTCGAAGAAGTGGCACACATACGTAGGTGAGTAAGCGACGAAAAATGGCCGCAAGATTGTTTCCGTGTCCAGCTAGTCCAACTGCTTGGTTGGTTGTGCAATGTGAGCCCGAGCCAGGGGTTAGGTCAACCCGTTGATGATGAGTACCGGGTGACTGTGTTGGAACGTCCGGAGCATTTTGGCATATTATGGGGAGGGCTCTTTCATTGTAACAGCTACGACCTACGGAGAACTGCATGAACCCGCGGACCACATAAAGCCACGAATTTACCAAAACCTGAAGGGTCCTAAATATCACTTGTCCGAAACGGATTTTTTGCATTACTGGGGATACTTGCATTGATCATGAACCTTCTGAATGCCCAAAAAGGGATGAAACATCGGTCCGTGTTCGATTTCCGCTGGGACCAAGAACTTGCCATTCTCGGTGGCGGACCGTCTGGCATGCATGTCGCAACATGGTACCCGATCACGTACTGCATGGAGTAGGCTTCCACCACACAACTGTGCCCCATCTCAGTTTTGTGACAGTTTCAGACTCTCAAGGAAAGCAAACCATGATTCTTTGTTGCATGCATATGCCCCTACATCATGCAAAAAACCCGTTTTCAAGAAGGAAGCATAACCTGGGAGAACTCCCTAGTCGGTGCCTTTTCGGATTCTCCGCAATTCTCACTGGAATTAGCGTAATGTAAAGAAAAAATATAAAATCTAAAATAGAATTGTCAAAGACAACAGGACTTTTCAAGAGACCTATTAATTACCTCGCAGTTACTGCAGTTTCAAAAAAAAACTGCCACAAGCTAAATATGAAAGCAAACATAACGCCTATCCATCGATCAATGTCTTTGTTTCCATGCTAGCACTTAGTAATAGTTATTTTGAACAATATACAAAAATACTATTAATTCGAATGATGACACTTTAGTGATCTGAGAGACCATCGATTGCGCGACAACTTTGCAGTCATGTTTAAGCCTATACAAAGAGCGCACATCAAGGGCGCACTATATTTCAACCACAAGACAAACACCATGTTGAACAACAACGCAAGTTCCCTATTAGGCTTTCGGAAAACCCATGCTTAATAGGAGCCTGGAAGTGAGATAATGCAATGATGCCACTGCGACGGTTCTGGTTTCTCTAAAGATCATCGATTGATTGGTTCCAAAGATGAACTTGTTCGGGAAGTTCTGTTTCAACAAAAAAAAATTTGGAATGGATGGAGGTGATAGATGTGCTACTTTTTTCGGCCAGTTGCACTATACATCCTCCCATCCCAAGGTCAACGCGGTTTGCCAAGAGTACATATTTTAACGAGGGGCGGCGGGGGGTCGTAAACACAGGGACCACCCGGCGCGAAATCGCAGCCGATATCTCATTGGTAGGTAGAAGTGTGAATGCTTGAAGATAGCATGATTGTGGAAAGATGAAATAGAAAGTGTTCATTTCAAATTCGATTGCTTCAGTCACCTTTCACAGATAACTATGAGCTGATTTCAGTCCGGTAAAATTCTTACCGTAACCCAAAAGATCCGTAATTTAAATGGGACGCTTATAGATTACCTCAGATTTTAAGCCGGATGCCGGGGCGCAGCTTTTCGACTTCATGGCTGGTAAAATGTAGAAGTGATGAAACATATCAGCAAGTACTGGAGCAGCTGGTTAGAGAAATGCGGTTTTTTAGCATGAGAAACGCACTTGTTTTTGCACTGGAGGCAGCGATTTATAAGACAGACATCTGTAGGTGCAGAATACCAATCTTCAGCCGAGTACAAAGTAAGTCACATTGTTGAGAGACGGACCAGCCTACAGACTGGAGTAGTAGGAATGTTTTTTGACCATTTGCTTTTATTTCAAAGACACCTGGGCACTCATGACCTTAGGGGGTTCAAAAACGATATAAAAAATTGGGTAGCTGACACGAGGACTAAGCTCAGGAGAGGGAGTAAACGCTAGAGAAAGCAAAGTTGCTCACGTCCCCCCCCCCCTAGGATCCGTGGTGCTATATGAGTTGGGGGACCCCGCGGCTACGCGGCGTCTGTCAAACGCAATGACACTGAGTCTGAACCTAGAAGGAGGTTCAAATATGCAAAAGTCAATCATAAATCATAATGTTCACAGCTTACCATTCCTTCATGGGCTCAGGCTTAGTTCCAGCACGCTTGAAAAATGGCCCCGCTGCGTGGTCCCTCCCCCAACTCACTGAGCACCGAATCCCTTTCCCTACCTAAGGCCTAGTCCCAGGTTCTGTAAATGAAAGACAGGTGTTGTGCTAAAGGTAATGCTTTCTGACCAAGGGGTGGAGCTGTGACTTGTCTTTTGTCCTCTGCGCACTTTAATTTAACTACCTCCTTAACCCCTTTCCTACTTTTCGTCACGTGGGACGGACGCGATTTTGTGGGCGCCGCCGCCTAACCTCACATCCGCAGATTTTGTACTGTAAATGAACAAAAACATGAATGTCACAAAATATTTCTGCAATGTCCAATGCGTAAAGATTATCTAAACATATAACAGTAGGATTTCGATCAGAACGACAATAGTGGTTACGAAAAGAGAGCATTTATTCACTTTCCCGTGAAGGAATTTAAAAGCATTTTAAACTCGATTACGAGATTTACCCACCTATCTTTCCATTCCTAGCGCCTGGCAAGCGATTATCAGCTGGCAGCCCATATGGGCTGCCATCGTCCCACGAGCACAACTCCTTGGCAGGCCATATGGGCTGCCGCCGGCGTGAATGTGTTAAAAACGACTTTGAAAACCACATAACACTTACTGAGCGAGCGGAGTGAGCTTAATCTATTTCAATGGTTTCACTATTGATTAGGGGAGGGTGTTTTAATGGAAAGAAAATGATATTGAAACTTCTGGCTTCTGGCTTGGAGCTTCAATGCTTGGGAACTGTTCTAGATTTCCAGTTTGTTGAATACAACCGGACAAGTCTTTCTAGCCAAGCCTTCATTTCAAACGTAACACATGTTCGTGAGTTCCTATAAAATCTAATACTGGCAACAACGTAAAAAATTTTCCCGTTCAATTTGCCGTGCAACACCTCCAAATTTGATGCAAGAATTGCTAAGGATTTCCCATCAGATGCTTCTGAATAAAAATACAGAGTGGTCTATTACGTAAAGATGATATGAACATATATTAGCAGGATTTCGATCAAAACGACGAATAGTGGTAACGAAAAGAGAGCATTTTTCACTTACCCGTAAAGGAATTTGGAAGCATTTTAAACTCGATTACGAGACCTACCACCCAACTTCCTATTCATAGCCCCTGGTGAGCAATGTTCCTCTATATCGTGCGCCATAAAACACGATATAACTTAATGTTTGGAAATTTTTTGAAAAATAAACAAAAATTTCAAAGCAATTGATTTCATAAAACATCGAACAATGACATTTTATAACTATAAAAAAGATTTGGAGTAGCTGCCATCAGTTTGATACAGGCCTCAATTTGTTTCTTCAGCGAGTCGATGGTGCGGCGGAGGTGTTCACGCATATTTCATTCCAAATTTTAGGCAGTTCTTTTCAGAATCACCAAACTTTTTGCACTTTCGATTCTTTAGTAGTTTTCAATAAAACCCCAAAGAGAGAAGTCTAATGAATCCGAATTCGGACTGTAAGCAGACCACGAATCCATCGCCACAAAACAGCCGATACTGGTCTCGAAGAAGTGGATTGATGCATTGGTCCATGGGCCGAGCGCATTCCTGTAGAAAGACAGAATTGCTTTTTACTTACAGGGGCAACAGCTTTCTCAAGGATCCCTTCTTGATAGACCTCCAATTTCCGCGCTTTTATCCATAAAAACCTTGCGGAGGCCCGCCTAACCACTGATCCAGCCTCAATTCATCAAATTTCAGGAAAAATTCTTGTGGGTACTTTTCATTGACGTATGTTAGCAAGAGCTGTTAGAGGAAGGTTAAAGGTGATTCTGAGAGTTTTAAGGCACATAAAGGATGAACTTTCATTTGTGAAACCACAGGGCATCTTAGGATCGCCGCACCCCGTAAACCCCACAATCCTTGGATGAATACCGACGAGTGTGAGCTTGATGATGAGTCTAGTGTGAGAAGCACTGTCGAAGGCCTTAGCAAAATTCAGGTAGATAACATTAACCCCTAGTCCTTTATCCAGATAGAATATCCAGTCATTCAATGATTGGAGCATTGTAGTCACTGTAGATTTGCCCTTCTGGAAACCATCTTGATGTTCCAAAAAAATGTCAAATTTATCTGAGTGTCTCAATGTCCTTTTCTTCAACAACTCTTCGAAGAGCCTGGCGAAATCGAGGTTATACTTGCTGGTGTAGTTGAAAGGGCAAGAATGCGGCTCCTTTTGAGAATTGGAGTAGAAGATACTCTCCATCGCACGGGCACTTGAGCTCGCATGAAAACTCAAAAGGAAAATAATTTCAAGCGGTCCCGCAATAATATGCGCCACCTTTTGATAAAATCAATGGAATGTGATCAGGTGCACCCGATCGTGATTTAGGCCAGCTTACTAATTTGTAAATTTCGTGGCTATGGAAACCAAATAGATCTCTTCATAAGAGGGAATACAGGAATAACCTCTGACTCAACATCTTCACTCTTTATGTGAGCCTTATGAAACACATCAGCTAACAGTTCTGCCTTTTCTTTTTCACTGGTTATCACGCCACCCTGTGCATCAAGAAGTCTTTCGAGTGCTTTTTTCCTGCTGAGCCTAGTACTGAGAAACCTGTAAAATTATTTTTATTCTTGGAGAAGATTATTTTCTTCTCAAATGACTATAAAATAAAAAATGAGTATACAGTCGTTTCTCGAATATAGCACTTGGTTTCTTATATGCTTCCCAGAGATTGGTACTACCACTAGCACGAGCTTTTCCATTGAAAACTCCTTTTCCGTCATAGTCTTTCCAAATGTTGTGGTAGATGCTCATGCCTAAATATGCGTCATGATTGGAACAAATAAATTGACGGAATGATGAAGAATGCTCAAAAACAATTCATATTCGCCATTCACCGTATCCACGTTACCCAACTAGCATACCAATCAACATTACAAAGATAAGTTGGTATAACATTACAAAGATAAGTTTAAATCTCATCAAAATTCGTCCGTTTGAAGTCTCTCCAGCGTGATAATTTTACTACCTTACTAACCTTCAGATCGAGGTGAAAAAAAAATGGAGACGTGACCGCTACTCCCAATTTGGACCCGCAACACAATGTCTTTATCCAGTTCCTTGTCGTTCGTTTATACGAGATCAAGAATGCTGGAGCCATGTGTGCTTTCAGAAATAACCTGATGTAATTCAAAACTTTCGCACGTTTCCATAAATCGACGGGTCGATGACCCAAGAGGGTCTGAACAGTATTCATCATCCCATGAGATATCAGGAAGGTTGAACTGACCACGTATGATGAATATATTGAAACCAGCTATCAAATCTCCAATTGCTTTTAAGAGCTGCTCGAATGCAAATGTCGAGCAAGACGGAGTTCTGTAAATTAGCACAACCCTACCCTTCGAATTAACCATAACCAGGTCTGCACATATAAGTTCATATGCTTAGACAACAGATTCGCTGAAAAATACTCGTGGACTGTATATTCTTTTTGTGATAATAGCAATACCCCCGCTGCGTCTATTGTGTCTACCACACTTCAGGATCTCAACTGCGAACAAAACTTTCCAAACAATGATTCGCCACTAAGCGAATTGGATAACCATAGATGCCGTGAGCGTTGCTATGCCGTAGTTGCTATATCGCATCAAATATAGGTGATAACTTGAATTTCTAGAAACAGAACGAATATTAGCTAAGCAACACCTTAGTGCAGTATCCACACCCGAGGAAGGCCTACACATTTGACGCCATCGATGAGCGAACTGAATTGGATGAAATATTCATCAAATCATTTTCAAGAAAGGCTTGAGATGCAACACCATTGCTCCCACCGATAGTCACATTTGCATTGCTTATGGGATAATCACTGACAACAACACGATTGTTGTAGGGGGCACCTCTTTCAGTACGCTTTCGTACACGTTCCCCCTCGGGGGATGGCCTCATGAAGGCCCCCGTCTGAGCGGAAAGCACTTAAGTTGTGGTTCTCCTCAACACCGACGTGGCGAGAAATGAACTCGCAAAATCACCTTAAGGAGTCTACTTAAAGTCAGGCTAAGTCGCCTCATACGATAACATGCAACTGGAAATCAATCAACTGAAAGAAATCCAGCAATTGATGAACACAACACCGATCATGTGATATTCTACGGAAGTTTTTTGATCTCAGGGACTTCAGTAACAAATATCGACCTCTCACGTTCAACTTCATCGTAAGAAAAAGAATTATCAAAACTATTCCGGGGCCTACTCATTAACTAAGAGGATCATCAACAAAATTGTAGTAAGAGCGAGGCAAGGTGTAACTTTCAAGTGCTTGACGAAGGCCTAAATTCTCCTCCTTGAGCTCCTTAATTTCCCTGGACTTCTCACCTCAATTTGGGTAGCTAATTCATGTTTTTTTTTCGTGCCACTACCTCCAGCTCCTTCTTGCTCTCCAGCAGAGCCGGAATATTATGAATATGTAGCGGTATAGCGTCGTCCGTGGTAGATGATCGGCAGCACGCAAAAAATCTGTCGACGGTGGAGTCTCAAACTCTAGCCCTTTTTCAGAACATCCTGAAGTTTGAAAGGAAGAAGAGGAGTATCACTAGCCACTGAGTTTCACCTGGCAGTATCACCCCTAATCGGGTGGCTATGTGCTACAGGAAAATTCCACTCCAAGCCACTAGGAGCACCACAGAGAAAAGAAAAAAATCTATTTCGACACGGCTAGCCAAAAAGGCAACTCCTAGCCGCCAGGAGCAGTGCACAGAGTCCAAAAGAAACAATATCGAAGCGATCACCAAAAAATGACGACCAGACTCAACCTGATAGGGTGGAATTATCTTCTCCAGACCTACCGTGCCACCGGTGTACTTAATTGATCCTTGAACTGATATGAGTCCTTGACCTGACAAGAGCAGACAGATAAAATAACAGAATACTAAACATCATGAAGTGGTAGCGAACTAGAGTTCCTTGATCGGCAGGTACGCAGCTAACCGCAACCGATCGATATCGGTTAGACCGCCTTGTACCGCCTTGCACCACTGATTTCCTGGACCGACGGGTTCTTTCGGCGCTCCACTTCTGTATACTAACATTGACGCGTATATTTGACCCCAAGGTAGATAGGCAGAATAGTAGATTGAAAGAAGCAGCGAAACCGAGCTAACTCTAGGGCTCGATGATCGTCAGACACGCAGGCGACCGCCAAGCGGCCGCGCGCCACCAAGACACAAGCGAGACTGAATACGATTATTATACGATTGTTATGATTTTTGGTCAAGCCTCGTCATTGCAAAAGGGAAGGCTGACACTCCCCATCATGAGGCAAAACAACATGAGGAGCACGGAGCCGTCGGAAGCTGAGGGTAAGTGCCAAGCAAATTCTTGAGTATTTCGAGTTTTTCAGGTCAATACTGCAAATTGCCGTCTTCCGATGTCTTCTCTTCTTCATGATGGTACTCAGATAAAACTTTGTCTTCTTTCGCCGTCGCCTTGTTTTTCTTTATTCTCGAATGCTAGAATCTAGCAGGCCAGTTTCGTTGTAGTTACAGTTCCTTCAATACGTATTTTGTTATGCTTTTTCCGCCAACCTTCTCTGCTGAATACCAATACCGCTGAATCCTTCAATGGTGCTGATATTCATATCGCTACTCCAAGGCCACTATGAACGACTGCGAGGGAACTGTAGAAGCATTTAGCATCTATATTTAAATGTTTTGTACAAAATGTGCATGTTATTTTTTGCTGCTGTCACGAAGTCGTTTATTTGTTAACTTGCTGAGTTTGTTGTTGGGTGAAATAAATCTTTTGGTTGTTGTGCTGCTGCAGTTGCGAACGCACCATGTACAGAACATTTCCTAGTCAACGTTCATACATCAACAAAAAAACTTTGACAATTTCACTGCATGCCGGGTTTATTTACGTTTCATCAAGTCGGTTTCAAACAGCAGTAATGTTTCCGACAGTCAACAACATGGAGAACCAACAAAATAATCAATGCAACAGCGTCCTTTATAAATTAATTCAGTAACGGTATGATATTATTCACCTTTGCCGCTTCTGATGATTAACCGTGCACCTTTTCTTAATTTTTCCTTGCATTTCTCGCTCCCTCTTTCCCTTTTTTAGCACTTAGAAAAGGTATAAACTCCTATATAAATAAAGAATATATATACCACTAAACGTCATTAGAGTGGGGATAGGGAAGAGAACAAGAAAAAGTAATGCAAATGTAGGAGGAAAATCTCTTTATACACAAAGAAAGGCATATCAATCGTAGAACAGAATCAGATAGAGACTGCTTTCGCTTCCCGTCCCACCCCCTATATCATATCTTGAAATCAACTCCTGACGACCACTGGTGCCCGCGCTATGAATTTCGCGACACTTGCGTTCTAGCGCCTTTTATCAGCCCTTATCAGTTGTTATCACTTTCTGTACCCCACCAAATATGTTCCCGTCCCACCCCCTATATCATATCTTGAAACCAACTCCTGACGACCACTGGTGCCCGAGCTATGAATTTCCGGTCAGACAGACAAACACACACGGACACACACACGCACAACCGCTTAGCGGATTATGTACACTTTTTCACTGTAGGAAGGAAAAACTGGTTCATAACAAATCATGAGTGCACCGTAAGATCGCGAAGTGAAAAAAAATCCGCCTTAGCGATCCACACCCCAACGAGGGAGTGAATGAGCTCGTGCATCAAATTACTTTTACTTGAGTACTGCGCTCGGGTCATGAAAAGTAGAAATACTCCCGAACTATAGTCGTAGTGAAAAACAGCAGGACAGATGTGAAACATCGATAACAAGGTAAAGACTAAACAAGGAACCAACTTGACAAAAGGCAACGACGGGCACGCATTCAGCGCACCATTTACGATCGTTTGCGCTCACCAAAGAGATACCACCATGGTATTCTATAAACCTGAATAATATCTCAGTGCAGCCCTCTACAGCAACACGTCTGTAGCGAATTTCACACTGAACACGCAGAAAGTGGAGAACAAGGGGCTTAGGCTGTCTGTGTGAACTCTAGGGGTGTGGTTCTCTGGAAAAGAAAGCGACGTTTTGCCTTTTGCAGCGCGAAACTTTTCTTGATGAGGAATGTGTATGTAACGGGACTGCAAATTCATCCACGAGTGAGAAATGTAAAAGTATCGTATGCAAAAGTATTTCGCACTACCCAACTCATCTCGAGGGGCCCTTTGAGGCGATTTGATTTACATGCTCAACCCTCCGGAAGTCCCTTAGGCAAAGACCAGCTCCTTCAGCAAATCGTAAATATGTTCACGTAGGCTTTAGCGAGGGCACAACGTGTAGTAACTTATAATCCGAATCTTGCCCACCATCGTCGCCTTCTTCGAGTTCAAAGTGGAAAGAGAAAAGAGCTATGTTTTTCGCGCTCTGACTCAAGCAGCTCTACTGAGCCACAAACCGATTGAAGCCGGAAGCGGCATCTGCATCGCGATACATCTCCTTGTCATTGCCAGCACTGAGGTATCAGAATGGATGGATATGCGGTCAAGAGACCACAGCCGGTAGAAAAACCCTTGTTCGATGTCGTATTTGGAGAGCCTCCGTTATCTTGCGGGAGCCAATTCACAAGTTGGTACAAGTTCGTAGAGGTCCTCGCTCCATCGTAAAAAGATCGAACCTTTCTCAAAGATTCTCTCACAATTTGATCACTATTGACAGGAGTGCGACACGAGTACCGCCTATAAATTGTACCCGTACGCCTTGGTCGAAAAAAGAAGCGCAGAATTCATGACAGCCACCTTCAGAATCCCGAAGGGCTGGATCGGACAGAAGATTGTGAAAAATAGACGAATAGAAATAGAAGTTCACAACAAAGTCGAGCTCTGCCTTTTCTAGAGCGTTTTTGAGTTACCACTAGGAACATCTCTCTCATTACAGCTATGAAGACAGTCAAGTCTAGTGTGATCAACGGCAGAGACTCACGGTGAAACTCCAACAAGGGTCCTAAAACTCGTGAAAAGTATGTCCCCTACACTACAAAAGAGACGACGCGTTTCGAAAAAGACGCAACGATGATCACCGCTCTTTCCAAGGACGTTTGCTCTTTTTGCTTAGCAATCATCATCAGCAATCACATCAAATTTGCTTCCATACAAAAAACACAATTGCTATAGGCATCTCGAAATCGACCTCACTGCCTTTTTCAGCTCATAACTGCCAGTCCTTCTAGGAGCTAGGTAGCCACTCTTCGATTGCACGTTGGTAACAAGTCACCGATAGTGGTGGTGCGCACAGAGAGGGGGGGGGAGCAAAAAAACTTTTTTCTTCCCCACTCCGAAGAAAAAAGGGCCGATTGCCGTCATTGACGGAATAGCAGAGTATTCCCTAAATGTCCCTCTATAAGTGACGCAGGCCCTCCTTCACTGCCCTCACCGTCTTCAGAATATGACGTCATCTGTCACCGTCGTCAAGCTCAAGGAGGCTACCGTAACTGCTTCAGCCTGAAGCTCTTACATAATTTCGTGAATCGATTCAATGTTGGATAGTTTTCTAGAGGCATTAGCTCCCACTATGCAAATCCCCTCGAAACTAGCTTTTCAGTAAGGTCGTTATGGTTTGTGATCCTTCGAAGACCCCATTGAGCTCGACCAGTGCACCATGTTGCCGCCGGCTGTGGCACGCGGCTCGATAAGGGCAGAAAGACAGAGTATTGATTGTGTAAGGTCTAGAAGCCGAAATACAATAAAGATGTAGTCAGTCAATCGATATATTGTTAATGATCGGTATAATAATAAATTTCACCCTATTGGGATCCAGTCCTTTTGGCGCCATCCGTCCCTGTGTACGCTCAAGAACCACAAGCGGTCTCGACAAGTTCATTCTTGATTCAAAGATTGCAATCCCGTTTTGTGGCTCTGCTAAGAGGCTCCTCTTTTCTTGTTGCACTGGTGTAACTCTGTAGTGTGTTTAGCTAATTCCACATAAACTATTCCGAAGTTTCACCCTTCTTTCTCTTTGCTAGGACGGTGGAACTGTTGCAAGGAACCAATTCTCAGAATAAAATCTTGATTCAGGATATTAAACAGAAATCTTGGACGAGCGACGATCAACCACAACCCACACTCTTTCGCAGGGATATCGTCTCGGGCCAGAACTTATTCGTCTTCCACACGAAGCTTCCACGGCTTCTGGGAGGTGCATTCCAGCCGTGCACACCTTTTCATCTCCGAAACCGTCCCATCAAAGAAAAGTCCCATCTTCCGAAGGGGCTCTTTTTTCAGCCATCCTGTTTTAGGCTTGTGCAGTGCTTCGAAGAAAACGGAACTACTAGAGACAGTTTTTCAGCTCCCAAACCGCATCACTCAGTGATTGAGCCAGCCATGGAAGAGCCCTAACAGGACTACCGTGCCATCAGCTTCCTTTCGGATTCTTCACTGTACCCAAAATGGCGTATTCTTGGAAGACACAAGTGCCTTTGGGAACTTTCTATTAGGTTGGAAAGAAAGTTCTGAAACTTCCCACAGCGACTTTGTTTTTTCTAATACCAGGAGCATATTAACGATCAGACTCAGCAATACTACCTTCGGGCAATTGGCTGACACCACATTTGTAGAAATTAGGAGAATTTTTGTCAAACAACTTTTGAAGTCGGATTTGCGTCCTTCTCGTCGTCGAGCTTTCTGTTCTCCAGGTAATGAGCAAGCGAGCAGGAAAGGTGGACGTGTATGGATAGGTTTGACGAATATGGCAGACGGGCAACCGCGGTCCAGCCTAGCTTGAGAATCTTGTGGCTTGAGACCGAAGACCCGCGCCGTTGCGCGTTGTCGTGAAGCAGGTTGACTTGTCGCTGTATTCCGTGAAGCTTTTCTGCAATCGTTCCGAGCAGCTAGCAGCGGGTAGCCCTTGTCATCGTCAATCCTGCAGACAGAACATCACCCATGGGAAATACCGTCAAAATTCCAAAAGTTTGACAACATCACCATTCCCCCATAGTTGTCAGGTCAAGGCATTGAAACTCCACTTTCCCATATTCCAAACCGCTGCTGCTTTCGCATATGGTTAAAGCAGACGGTCCATTTGTCTTCGCCAATGGCCACATGCCGCGG